GAGCTAATAACACATTTTCCACAAGATCTCTACCTGTCAAAAAAGCACTCTGATTTGGAAGAATAACAATAGGTAAGCACTGCTTCAATCTATTGATCATAATCTTGGTGATGCACCTATATGTAATACTACAACATAAAATAGGCCCAAAATCAATAGCTTTAATCGGAGCAGAAACTTTAGGCACTAGAGTAATAATGGTCAAATTAAAGGAGTCAGGAAGATAACTATTCAAAAAAATATTGCACAACTTTCAAAAAAATCCTTACCAATATTTCTCCAAGACACTTGGAAGAACTTCGCGAGATAACCATCCGGTCCTGTAACCTTATTCCCATTCATAGAAAACACAACATCTTTAATCTCTTTTTGAGTAATAGGGGCAATCAAAGAACTTTGCATATAAGCATTCAATTCCACCCCTAAAATTTCCCTCAACAAGTCATCCAAACCTAACCTCACTTCTCTATCAACACAACCCAGAGAGTTAGAGAAAAATTTGACCAACTCAGCAGAAATAGCTTCAAAAGTATCAAGTTTATTACCTTGATTATCCTTGAGCATTCGAATAGTGTTAGCTTTTTGCCTAGCACTAACCCGCCGAGAGAAAAAAGCAGAATTGTGATCACCTTCCTGGATAAATTGGATCCTGGATTTCTACTTAAAAAACTTTTCTTCAGTTCTACACAAAACCTCTAACTCCTCTGCAACTTTCTTTTCTTGCTCAATAATTTTCCCAGTGGGGTTAACCAACAACAACTTTGAATATCCAATTGCTTTTCAAAAACTCTCCTAGAAATATCACTAAAGCAATCCTTATTAAGCCTATGGAGAGGATCCTTCAACCTCTTGAGCTTAGTAAACATAATATATAGTGGGTTACCATAAACATGCACTTTCCATGACTCCTCAACGATATTAAAGAAATCCGGATGATCCACCCAAAAACTACAAAATTTGAAAGGCCTGGGAGGCTTAAGTTGAAATAAGTTAGTTCGTACATTTTTGGGCTGATAGTTATGACTGAAAATATATATCCTGAGTAATTTCAAGAGTATATATATTCAGTAATTTCATATTTTTCTACAAATTTATATATTTCTTTCTTGTTTTGGTGTGTATCAGTTTGGTTGGTTTTGTACAAAAATCGATCCACATAACTATTAATGGAGGCTGGGCATGTCCGCATGCCTTTGTCTTTTACCCATTAAACCATATAAGATCCTTGACAAGGAATAAATAATATCAGATATGCACCCTGAGATCATGTCATGAACACTGTTCTAAAAGTAAATTGACCCAAAAAATACCATGTAAACCCAAATTTGCCATTTCGATGGTATGCAGAAAAGATCCATTTTTGGCGATTTCTTATCATTTATTCATGCATTGAACTTGAAGCTCTTTGAAAAAAACACCTGACGTGAGAGGAGGAAAAAAAATAGTGAATTAGATAAGTTGTTTTTTATTATTATGAGATAATTATAAGATATATGTTTACATCCTATATATACAGCTGTTTAAACCTATAATCTATAGGAAAAACAACATTTCTTTTTATTATTGAGACCAAATTCGTGCAATAGACGAGTCTAAAACCACAAAATTAAGTGGTACAATATTATAAAGGTAGAGTCAAATTCCCAACAGCATGATGATACATAATTATTTCACTAGCATATACTGGGGTTTTGGACCCACTTCACCCATATATGTCTCTCCATTTCGAATCAAAACGATTCATATCCTTGATTTCCTTCTGTCCACTGTCTTCAAATTTCATTTCCCCATGGATGAATAATGAATGAAGCATTATTATTATTATCTTACACCAAATACAAATCATCTGCCCAAAGCAACTTCATTATCGCCTCTAATAATAGGTTATGTGTTGAATTCTTAATTATGGTAGCAAATTCCAATCGGAAGATGCATCATGTAATCAACCAGTAAGGTTAACTACTGAACAGTGATCCTCTAGCAAATTCAAAGATATTATAAAACATTAACTTTTTTTTAGTTCTCGATATATATATATATTAAGAATTGAATCGTCCAGAGGTCAGGCGGATGTATGTGGTTCTCTAGGGTAACAATTGTACACTAATTATTTTAAGAAAAATGTTCAATTTAGTTTAATTTGTCAATGAGAATGAAAAAGAAAATAAAATTTTCATACTCAAAATTTTTTAGAATATATTAATAAAAAAATGTTAAAATTTTGAGTCCATTTTTTAATTTTTGATCCACCACTTATTGCTAGAGAATGAAAATGGAGGAGAATAAAAATAGTAAGATCCACAATGAAAATATAGAATTTTATCTAAAAAGAAAAAATAAGTGTTATAGATGCTAGAAAGAAAACAAGTCAGGGGCTAATGATGTTGTATACATATGAATCTTGTCTTCGATCACTCTTATATATACGACAATTTAAAATTCATAACAAAATAACTTTATTAAAATTATCAATAATTAATTCTCTAAATAATTTCTCTTCAATCTCATTTTTCATTTTTTAAAATCACAGTATTCCTCTAAATTTACCTAGAGAAGTCTATACATAGACGAAGCTAGGATTGAATTATGAGGGAGACAAGTTGTTTAACTTTAAAATAAATAGGTCTTAAAAAATAATTAAACCAGATAAATTTGAAGTTAAGACTTAATTCCAATCATTTTAAAACAGTCAGTGTCCTAAAAACAATCATATCAAAAAATATGGGAAAGACAAAGACTTAATTGTAATAATCTAAAAATTATCAATGGTTAAAGAATAATTAAACCATCAAAATTTAAAGAGGTCATTATCTCTATCACCCATAACGTTAGTCCGTCCCTGACTCTATATAAATCATTTACCCTTTTATAAGAATTTTTATATATCAAACTGTCAATGGAACCCCTCGTCAAATTGTTAAAGGAAACGAGTTTGGCTACTTTCAAATCCCCAAGATTTCATCCCCTAATTTTAGGGTTGCTATTTGTGGGATCCGAAATACAGAGATTAGGCTATGATGGTAGGTCTTAGGCTAAGAAAACCAATGATCGCTAACGCGTTTGCTGTCTAGAATATGCAATTTCCTATTTGACTCATAAATTTTATACATTACTCTATAATTTAATATAGATATATTTTAATAAATTTATTAAGTAATTTTAATAATGAAATGGAATAATATTTCTTTAGAGGTTTTGAATTAGATTAATTTTAAAAAAAATCTAATCATATATTATATTATAATCACCTCGTACTATTGTAATTTTTATAGATAAAAAACATCTCAACTTCTATAAAAAAAAGCTTGGAATCCTAGCATTTACTATTCCTAACTTTTTTTAGTTTTATTTTCTAAAAGTAAAAAAAAAAGATTTGTATTAATAGTGTATATATTATATTAGTAGTAAATCTAGATTCACTTATTAGAAATTAACAATTATATCTAATTTTAACGATTACTAAATTTTTTAAATATATTGATGATATATTGTAATATGATTAATTAGTAGTGTATAAATTTATATATCATGGATGTAATAAATAAAAATTCGATAATTCTATACCCATAAAAAAATGACTACGGGATGAGAGAAGTGTTTTTTTTTTTGGTTCCCAACTTCAATCTAAAAATTAGAAATCTTTATCTAACTTCGATCCATCTTAATTAAATTTAGGATACTTTTCTTTTAAAAAATTTGGCTGGAAATTAAAATAGTTGGCAACTGGGACGTGAGGATTATTGATATTTGAATTTTTTTATATTTATTATTTATTGAGTAAAGTACATAAACGGTCCCTCAATTATAAGACGTTACTTCGTTGAGTCATCGGCTATTAAAAGTTACAAAATGGTCGCTCGACTATAGGTGCTATTTTGTTGAGTCTTCCGACTATTTAAAGTTGTAAAATGACCACCCGATTTTTCATATGTTCCAAATTTGATCATTTTCTATTAAAAAATTGATGAATGTTTGAGTTGGATGTTAATATACTGATTGAGATATAATATAATTATATTTTAATAATATCTACTGGAACTGTCGCTGCGCTCAAGCACTAGCTTGATGGTATGATGTTACAAGCACTGACAATGTAATATAAATAGAGAGTCGGTACAGAAAATACATCTCAAACAATTATTGGATCATATTTTATTATATTCCAGTCAACATGTTAACGTTCAACTCATACAACTGTCAATTTTTTAAAGGAATTAAAAAAGACGAGTTTGAAATATATGAACAGTCAGGTGACCGTTTTATAACTTTTAATAGTCGAATGACTCAACAAAATAACATCCCATAATCAGAGATCATTTGTGTAATTTACCCTTATACAAAGAGCTCAAGAACTTCAATGCGTTGTTGTAAGGACAACCCGATTATATTCCTAGTTTCACTCCTTAATCGAGTAAATTTAAAAAGCATAAGTTTCAGATGAAGACAAAAACATGATCAACTTGTAAAACAAATCCACCCAAAGAATTATTCATGAATAAATCAAGAAACCATCGATTTTCACCAACACCACTAAATTATACTGCTCCATTATTACTTTAATTCTAGTGCCCATGGATAAAACATAACCCTAATAAATTTTTAGCAGAAAACCATGTAAATTTTCTTTCGTGAATATTTAACTGCCGCTAATATTTTAGGGTTTTTTCACCTTCCGTAAAACAAGTCAAAATAAACTAGTGCTTAAAGTTTTCTTTCACTGACGATCGACGACAAACAGTGTATTATCATGAGAAAAAAAATCAAATGAAAATGATGACAATATAGAATTGGACAATATACAATAATGGTGATTATATGATAAAAAAATGAATTAAATAAACTATATGTTAGTTAGTGTCAATGGAGGGGGGGAAAAAGGAACAAAAGCACCTTCATAGAGGGCCCATAGCATGTCTCCTCCGTTAGACCCCAAAGGTGTGATTTTCATCTGCACTATTCTCTTTCCTTTTTTTCCTTCATCATTTATTGGGAAAAATACCCAAAGAGTTGATTTTGAAACAAAGATTGGTTCTGATTAATCATGTCAGGTGATATAGCTAAAGTTTCCGGCAAAGGGTCGTCGCGATCCACTGGAAACAACCACTTCCACCACCAACACCAGCCCGATCAGCCGGCAGCTCCTTTGAGCAGGTACGAGTCGCAGAAACGCCGAGACTGGAACACTTTTGGGCAGTATTTGAAGAACCAGAGGCCACCGGTTGCAATATCTCAGTGTAACTGCAACCACGTTCTCGATTTTCTTCGATATCTTGATCAGTTCGGGAAGACAAAGGTCCATTTACATGGATGTGTCTTTTTCGGACAACCTGGCCCGCGTGCTCCTTGCACTTGTCCACTAAGGCAAGCTTGGGGCAGCCTCGATGCACTCGTCGGACGACTAAGAGCTGCTTACGAAGAACACGGCGGGTCACAGGAGAATAACCCGTTCGGAAACGGAGCAATTCGGGTTTTCTTGCGTGAAGTGAAGGAGTGTCAAGCTAAGGCCAGAGGGATTCCATATAAGAAGAAGAAGAAGAAGAAGATTCAAATTAAACCCAACGTGAAGGACGAGGCTAATTCATCGTCAAAGCAGCACCCAGCCCTTCTTAGCTCTAACTAAGAGCTTTTTACGGTAATTCCTTTTACTTTGATATGCACGCTCCTCCATTGCCATGATGATGATGGTGATGATTAAGAATAAAACTCTTGAAGTGAAGGAGTGTCAAGCTAAGGCCAGAGGGATTCCATATAAGAAGAAGAAGAAGAAAGATTCAAATTAAACCCAACGTGAAGGACGAGGCTAATTCATCGTCAAAGCAGCACCCAGCCCTTCTTAGCTCTAACTAAGAGCTTTTTACGGTAATTCCTTTTACTTTGATATGCACGCTCCTCCATTGCCATGATGATGATGGTGATGATTTAAGAATAAAACTCTTAGATTTCTTGAATAATTACAGAAAAAATATAAACAAAATTGAAATTCATTGGGAAAATAAACCCTAAACCCATTGCTGAGAAAACCCTAATTTTAACCCTTACCGTTGGAGTCCTTAGAAGTGTTAATATGATTAGCAACAGTGGACCGAAGGGATGTAGTCGTCCTCTAAAAGTTTTAACATTTATAAATTTTAAATATTTTTTATTAATAATTTGTTTAAATTCCTTAAAATATTATAAATTATTTCCTAACATAAAATTTTGCATCCTATAAGTAATTTCACCTTAAGAAACTTTCTTTTACCATCTCTCACTATTACGTTCATAGCTGAACGAGAAAGATTACCCCTCAAAATACAGTTTTTTTTCTCACTTCTTTACCTTTTCCCTGTTTTTTGGGCTCTTTTTTATTCTGTTGGATTTTATGCCCCCGTGTATGAATGTCCATCATGGTATATATATCATACTCTCATGTGAAATTTATTAATTTGATTTGGAATTTTAAAACTAAAATTCAAGTTTTTATTACATATTATATACTGTAATTAGCTTGAAAATCTCCTAGTACATGGTGCGGTCCAAAGTTATTTTACATATTAATCTTCTTGTGGTGAAACCAATTATTATGAATATAATAAGATAGAGTTATTTATTTCTAAAACAAGTGGTTAACAAAATTATAGATCTTCTTGTTTAATGGCCATTGAACCTGGATAATCATATCCTTAATTCATTGATTTTCTAAAAATTAATGGAATGAAAGTCAAAGTAAAAATTCTTATTACAATTTGACGATTGGAACTTAAAAAAGTATTAAGATTTAGATACTTTAAGTTATATTTGATGTGGATTAATAAAAAAAAAGTTATATGAATATTAAGCTCCAAATATTTGAAAACAATTTACTTTCACATATAAATGACTGAATTTAGATATCTCAAGTTGAAGACAATATTTATTTGTAAAATACAAAAAAATGTAAATTAAACGAGATTTAATAAATTTGGATATTAGTAGATTGAAACATATAGAAATGGAATAATGTTATATAATGTGGAATGAAATTTGATACTTTTTAATTGATATTGATTTATTTTGTGAAGATTTATCGTTATACACGTCTTTAATTTGACCTAATCTAATACAATTTATATCATACTTAAAATATTTTTATAAGATATTATAAGAATATTTTGATTATTTGTGTTGGAATTAATATAATGTTATTGTTTTTATCATTAATATTTTATTTTTATAATTAATTATATTTTCATAAAATAAATATAATTAATTTCAACCATATTTAATTTAAATATTTTACTCATAATAGGTATTGAACCCAAACCTAAGGGAGAGGGGAGATGTCAACTTAAGCTTTTAACCACCTGCTCTAGAGATTGTTGACGAAGTGTATTAAATTATTAAATTAATAATTGATATGATATAATAATATTTTTTCAATGTCTCACATTAGAAACAATTATTGACAATTAATCAACTAACAATTTTTAATTAAAAAGAAGAAATTTAATCAAAATTAAAACATTAAGAATTAAAACAATTAAAAAATAGAGATCAAAGTTACATCAACAATCAATTGCTAAATGTTATTTTTGACATTATGCTTTAACGATTTAGGCATGAAAATATTGAATATAAATATTATATAAGATACAGAAAGTTTTACTCTTAATGAGGATTGAGCTCACATTTAATCATCTACTCTAAAGATTATTAACTAAATTTTTATTGTTAAAAGGTCTATAGTATTGACCAAAACAATTAAAATAGCCATCATGTTATAGAACAAAATAAAAACATAGGATTACACGGATTAAAAGAGTGAAGTGCAAAGTTTTGTACTAATTGTTATAATTATTTAACATTTTTTGTGAACATATAATGAAAATATTAATGGCACAATTAATGTAAACATGGACATTTGATTGATTGAAATTATAATATAGAAATTAATTATTTATAAGAGATATTAAACTCTCTAAATAATGAGATTTAAATTAAAGGTATTTTCTAATTTATTATATTAAACTAAAAATTTTATAAAAAAAGGAGATAATTAATTTATTGATAAATGTTGATTACTGTGTTTTTCCCTCCGCAAAGCAATAATATTATTAATATTATAATGAGGCCAAACAATGGCATAATAAAGCCAAAATGGCAGTACATAAGAAAAGCACCTCACCCTAAACAAACCAAACATCTAACATAGCTAAAACAACATCTAGAAAAATCTGATCACACGCTGTGTTTATACACATTACACACTAACAACACCTAGCTAAAACAGCACCTCACCTTAAACACTGCGTTAATACACATTACACTTCAAGAAGAGAACCAAATTAGAATTTTAGAGACAATATTATTAGAAGAATAACCATAAACTCTAAACATGAATTATAAAATAGATATACAAGATAAAAATATATATTTATCTTTTCAAATTTTGGGTCAAAATATAATTTACCCTACATTAGGATGCTTATTTAAAGGACTAAAAGGAATTTGAAAGAATTTTGGAGACATTTGGACTATTAATGTTTTATATTTTATTGATGAAATCATATGTTATTGTCGTTGATTTAAGTAGGAAGATGGTGATCATAGGCAATTTGTCTTTATGGATTAGATGAAAAGTCAGAGTCAATGATTGTCTAGAGGAAAAAGAGAGAAAGATTAGAGAAGACGGTGAATAGTAGTTATGTGGTTCTTGATCCATTCTTTTTTAATTTTATTTATACGAGTATATATGTTTATGACACAGGGTAATAGGGTAGTTGGTGTCAGTCCTACGGTTGATGGATATTGATGGGTTGACAAGTGAGTAAATCCGACTATTAAATAGTAGACTTAGTTAATGATGAGATCGACAACGATTAGACTATTGTTAAATGAAGGGATTATGAGATTACCTTTAGATGAGTCTTACGATATTTTAGAATTTTTTTTTGAAAGTTTCCGAACTTTTCTTATAAAGAAGTGATAATGGAAATAATTTGTGAAAGAGATATAACAATCATCTTTAGTTAATAAATGACCGGAAACCATTAACAAAACATAACAAAATTTAAATGGTTTTCTAAAAAAAAAATTTAAATAATTAAATATTAATGAAGGGAGAAGAAGTTTACAGAAACATTATAAATATTTTTTAATGTACACTCCATTCCACAATAAAGATTATGGAAAAGGGTATATATTAATGAAGGGGGAAAATTATTTATGTATTTGTTAGTGGAATATTATACTTTTAAATTTATTTACCACATTTAAGTTGGTAAAATATATATGAGAATTTAGAATTGTAGATAGTCACAGCTGGAGTAATTATATTGTATGTATGGGAGCTGAATGAAAAATTGAAGACAATGATAGTAGATTAAGTACCGTCGCAGCTGTGCTATTATATACGTACTATATCTCACATGTTTGTTGTATGCTATATGTTTAGGGTTGGTAATTACTCTTACCATAATTTTATTTTTAAGATTCGAACTTTTTTTTTGAGAGTGAGATGAATCTTAACACTTGTTGGTTATACATACTGGTTTTATCCCAATGCTAGAACATTGATTGGTGCAGGATGATGAGCTTAGTATTCACCGAACAAGCTAAGCAACAGCAGAGGGGAGCGTTATACGAAAAAGCCAACGTTTGAAGTCTATTGCAGTACTAGCTTGTAGTACACTGCTACTGCTTTAAGATTTCTCTTACCTTCAATCGTGTCCTTTTAATAAGTTCTATATTACATATAGTTACATCCTAGATATATGAACTAATTAATGATATAGAGACTATAGTTCCTAGTCCTTGTAATAAGTTATATGTTACATATAATTGTTGTAGTTGCCAATGATATTTTTCAGTTTCATCCTAAAAGCGATAGGATCAAGTAGCTAAATTTTACATGGAGGATGCAGCTGATATAATCAATGTTCTCTAACATCCAAAAGTTTTGGCATTAGCAGCTTATTCTGCCACTGTCTGTAATGCCTAACCAACTCATTCTTTCCAGTAATATTCTGAACGATATCTTCAGAATACGACATCTTCATATACAAATGAGCATATCATTTTTAACTATTTGACATCCTCATGTACAAAGGTGCAAATCATATTTAGAATCTAACATCATTGGGTATGAAGGATCATATTATTTTCATCATCTCTAGAGTATGAGTGTATTATCTTTAGAAAATCCTACTTCCTGGGATAAGAATGAGTGGAATATCATCTTCTTCATGTCTTGACTTATTGGGTACGAATGAGCAAACCACCATTTATAAAAGCATGCTTCCTCACGTGCAAAGGAGTAGAATATCATTTTCAAGTCTTATTAAGTATGAATGAGCTGACCATTATCTTCATAGTTTTATCCCATCGGGTATAAATGATAGGTCATCTTCATTTCAACATAATGCATCTTCGAGTGTAAAGGAGTGGATCATCTCTACAAGATTAAACTTAAAACCAGACAAAGTTCATCGCTCTGTTTCTTTTCCGTATTCTTATTTCTCTACAATTGGCAAAGGGCGATAATTGTGAGCGCTCATTTTTGTTCGGGTTGACTTGAGGCCCAAATCTTGACCTGAAGCCCAAACTAACTCACCTAGGCTCAAACTCATGATTCCAAAACCCCCAAAAGAGAATTGCCCCAGCTCGTTCAACCTCTTCGGAACCAAGTCCCAAAGCAACTCACA